TGTGTGTTTGTGTGAGTGCACGAGTGCGTGTGTGTGCGTGCATGCACGAGTGCGTGTGTGTGCGTGCATGCACGAGTGCGTGTGTGTGCGTGCATGCACGAGTGCGTGTGTGTGCATGCATGCACGAGTGCGTGTGTGCGTGCATGCACGAGTGCGTGTGTGTGCGTGCATGCACGAGTGTGTGTGTGTGCGTGCATGCACGAGTGCGTGAGTGTGCGTGCATGCACGAGTGTGTGTGTGTGAGTGAGTGCACAAGTGAGTGTGTGCGTGCATGCACGAGTGAGTGAGTGCACGAGTGCGTGTGTGTGCATGCATGCACGAGTGCGTGAGTGTGCATGCATGCACGAGTGCGTGTGTGTGCGTGCATGCACGAGTGCGTGTGTGTGCGTGCATGCACGAGTGCGTGTGTGTGTGTGAGTGCACGAGTGCGTGTGTGTGCGTGCGTGCACGAGTGCGTGTGTGTGCGTGCATGCACGAGTGCGTGTGTGTGCGTGCATGCACGAGTGCGTGTGTGCGTGCACGAGTGCGTGTGTGCGTGCACGAGTGTGCGTGTGTGCGTGCACGAGTGCGTGTGTGCGTGCACGAGTGCGTGTGTGCATCGTATCTGCGCATTCACTTTCGATGTGGTAGTGATCGATCGTTTGTAACTCTGCGTGTATCCAGCGAGTGTTTGACCGAGTTCGCGCAGGTGAGGCGGCAGCATCAGCAGCAGCACCAGCAGCAGCAGCAGCAGCAGCAGCACCAGCAGCAGCGGCAGCAGCAGCAGCAGGAGCAGCAAAATCAGCAACAGCAGCAGCACCAGCAGCACCAGCAGCAGCAGCAGCAGCAACAGCAGCAGCAGCACCAGCAGCAGCAGCAGCAGCAGCACCAGCAGCAGCAGCAACAGCAACAGCAGCAGCAGCAGCAGCAGTAGCAGACATAGGACAGAGATCCTCTCTCTCTCTACTCTCTACAAACTAGTAAACATCGAAGCTTTACTTCTCAATATTTGGTTTCTCGCTCCACGCACCAAGACCCTAGCTAGCAGGGGGGGGGGGCTGCGAGGGTCGAGAGGAAATAATAAAACCAGCTTGAGATAAGAGTTCGATCACTAACCGTCGATTGGTAACCATCGATTGGAAGATATATGAAAGAGTACAAATTTTTGTATCCGGCTTTGAAATCTAGCTGGTGTGTCGTGTGTAATTAAAAATGTATCTTTTAAAAAAATTAATTTGTTGAGTCCTCGTAACGATGTTTTGCGTGTGCGTCTGCGAATCATGAACGCACCGTCGTATAGATACAGTTCATAGGTCGATGTGCGTGCGTGCGTGCGTGCGTGCGTGCGTGCGTGTGCGCGAGAGCACACGTAGACGATATGTGACGTCACGATGATGGGTGTAGAGTCGGTGACGTCAGTAGTCATAGTTAGAAACGTAATAAGAAGGATCCACTTTAAGGGTGACAACGAAAGTATACGCTGATGTGTTTACAACTGCTATGATCTATAAATAGACGAGATGTAACGAGTAAAAAAATAACTGTGGAATAAATGTTTACCATGTAAGAAAAAAAAATTGCCACTTTTGTTTTTGCTTTTTGCAAATGTTTTGTTCGTGATATTTTATTACGATATATTACGCGTTTTTGCTCTACTGTCGCTCTTTAATACACGTTATTGTTATGTACGAATCATTTTTCTGTCCAATGTAATATTTATGTCGTAGATCTCAGGCAAAGAGCTTATAAACATTGTAAGCTCTGTGATGTCTCTGGTAGGATATAGTAATTCGCTGTGGCGTCATAGGACGTCGTAATTGTCAAATTATAGCAGTAGAGCCAAAGTTGTTACTTGTTAACCAGTCGTCTTTATTGTCAAGCGCGTAGCCAGGGGGGATCCTGGGGGCCTAGGACCCCCAATCGAAATCAAAATATGTTTTCTCTTAAAAGCGCGTAGCTGGCCTAATCATGGCCTTGTTAAAAAAGACGGTAGTCACACAGCATGGTCAGGTTAGGTGTCGTTGTAGAGCTGCAGATGAAATATAGTATTGTCAACAAAACAGCGTCTAAATTGATTTTAAAGCACTATTTTTAGCTCATCTGACGTAGTTTCTATATATTTACTATAAACTCTTCTCTCTTTCTCTCTGTCCCCCTCTCTATCTCTTCCTCTCTCTCGATCCTCATCTCCATATCTTTCTCTCTCTGTCCCTTTCTTTCTCTCTCTCTCTCTCTACCCCCTCTCTTCCTCTCTCTGTCTCCCTCTCTCTTAATTCCTCTCTCTGTCCCCTCTCTCTTTATGTCTCTGCCCCCTCTCTTCCTCTCTCTATCTCTGCCCCTCTCTCTTGATCTCTGCCCCCTCTCTCTTCCTCTCTCTGCCTCCTCTCTCTGTCTGCCCCTATATCAATTTAATAATGAATTAAAAAAATAATTATGAATATAAACATGAGGATTTTTCGCTACTGCCATTCCATATCAGAATTGT